GGATAATATCCATACACATACAAGAAAGTTCAGTGACTACCACCATCATTCAAATATATGCACCAACAACCAGAGTTAAAGAGAAGGAAATATAAGATTTCTACCAACTTTTGCAGTCAGAAATTAATCAAACATGCATTCAAGATGCATTAATAATAGTGGGTGATGAAATGCAAAAGTTGGGAAGAGAGAAGAAGGATCAGTAGTTGGAAAACATGGACTTGGTGACAGAAATGAAGCTGGAGATAGAATGAGAGAATTTTTACAATCAGTGACTTATTCATTGCAAATACATTATATAAGAAACATAAATGCAAGCTATACACATGGATCTCACCTGATGGTATGCAAAAAAATCAGATCAATTACATCTGTGGAAAGAAACACTGGAGAAGCTCAATATCAACTGTGAAAACTAGGTCACGTGTTGATTGTGGAACAGACCACCAGCTACTCATAAGCAAGTTAAAGCTGAAGTTGAGGAAAATTAAGTCAAGTCCACAGGAACCCAAATTTGACCTTGCATCTATCCCACCTGAATTTCAAAACCATCTCAGGAACAAGTTTGAGGCCTTGGACATTGATAAGTGAAGACTGGATGACCTGTGGGAGGATACCAAGAATATCAGCCATGAATTCAAAAAGTCACTACAAAGACAGAGGGGGAAGAAAAGACCAAGATGATGTCAGAAGAAACTCTGAATATTGCACTAGAGTGCAGAGAAGCCAAAGCAAAGGGAAGAAATCAACATATTAAGGAGCTGAACAAAAGATTCCAAAGGGCAGTTCAGGAAGACAAAGTATTACAATGAAATGTGCAAGGAGCTGGAGTCAAAATCAAATGGCCAGAACTCACTCAGCATTTCTTAAGCTGAAGGAAATGAACAAATTCAAACTTTGAGTTTCAATATTCAAGGATGTTTTGGGCAGAATAGTAAATGATCCAGGGAGCATTAAAAGAAGATGGAAAAAGTGTGCAGAGTCATTGTACCAAAGGGAACTGACAGATCCAGAAGAATTTCATGAAACAATATATGAACAAAAGCCTGTGGTGATGAAGGAAGAAGCTCAAGCTGCTCTGAAAGAACTGGCAAAAACAAGGTTCAGGAATTGATGGCATACCAATTGACGTATTTCAATAAACAGATGATGCCCTGTGTGAGCTTACCAAGTTGTACCAAAAAATCTGGAGAACAACCACATAGCCAACTGACTATTCCCATTCCAAAGAAAGGTGAGACAAGAGAGTACAGAAACTATAAAACAATGTTATTGATATCTCAGGCAAGCAAGATTCTGCTGAAGAGTATTAAAAAATGACTAGAACAGCACATCAGCAGAGAACTGCTTGAAGTTCAGGCTGGATTTAGAAGAGGCTGTGGTACTAGTAATATTATAACTAGTGTCAGATGGGTCTTGGCTGAAAGCAGAGAGTACCAGAGAAAAGTCTATCTGTGCTACATTGACTATGCAAAGGCATTTGACTGTGTGGATCATAACAAACTATGGATGACTCTGAGAAGAATGGGAATCCCAGAACATTTGATCATGCTAATGTGAAATCTGTCTCCATACCTTTTCAACATGTATGCAGAGCAGATTATCCGAGAGGCTGGGCTCTATAAGGAGAATTGTGGCATCAGGATTGGCGGAAGATCTATTAACAATCTGCGTTATGCAGATGACACAATCCTGCTTGCTGAAACTGAGGAGGACCTCATGCACTTGCTGCGAAGGGTCAAGGACTG